TCATGAAAAGGTCCCGGTGGATATCTGGTAGGGACTTTGAGACTGCATCCCCGAGGGCAATTTCTCCAGACGCATTCCTTCCTTCTGAGTCGAGACCCCCTTAGTCCCCACAACACACTCCCCCCATGCGGGGGACAATGGTGCCTTCAGCCCCCAGACATGAATGGGGCCTTTGAAAGCAGCACGCCATGGGGTCAGCGCCGGCCACTGGGTCCACGGGGCCGCCCAGCCTTCGGATCAAGGAACGGAATCCCCAGCCTGGGGAAGGAGGGGAGCTTGTGTGGGTGGAAAAGGATCCTTCGGGTCCCTGTCTGATGAATCTTGGGAAGAGATCCATCCCAAAACAGGCCGTTCTTAGTAAAGAAACATTCTAAGAAATATTGAAGAGGCTGAGGAGGAAAGAATATCCCCTCCCTGTGCCAGGGGAGGGGATGGTTTTCTGTCCCCTTCTCCGGAGCAGCAGAGCAAACGGCATGGGGAGGGAATCTATCAAGATTTTGCTACCTCTTCTCTCCTTTCCCAAATCAGGGTTCCACTGTTTAGATGGGGCAGTTCTCTACCTTCTTTCAGTGCTCACGTCCCTTCATCTTGGGCTGTCCCTGAGGCCTGATCCCTTTTTCCTTCTTCTGTCTTCCCTCGGGCTCCTGCATTGTACAGCCTATCAGGTTTCTATGGAAACGGGCTAGGAAGGCTCTGCCAGAAGGCCAAGGCCACTACAGCTCTTGAGGGGAGGGGAGGATAGAAATCGAAAGTGAGGAGCAGGAGGTGAGTTCTAGTTAGCCCCAAAGGCAGTGGACACATGTGGCCAGTGAGACTTTTCATGGGCGTGGGGCAGAGGGTGGACAGATGGGGGAGGGGCACAGAGGCACAGGGACAAGGGACAGAGATGAAATTGCATGGTTGAGAGCTTCCTCCTTCTCTTACTTGCCAGTATACCAGACATCTAGACAAGCTCCTTTAGAGGGGAAATTAGTGGGTGAAGGAGCGGGATATGAGTAGCAAGAACTTTGACCATTTCTCCCTTGCATGAAACTCAAAATTTTTTTTTCACTCCCTTGTGGGGAAGGAGGCCTCCAGAACTAAAAGGTGCCTAAGAAATGGAAAAGGAAGTCAGAGTGAGGAATGAGTTCAAGAGTGTTTAGGAATTGCCTCTGGTCAGGTGAAGGTACAGGTAGCCAGATACCTAGGCATGCCAGGTACTTTAATGATATCTTGTCCCTGGAACCTCCACTGAGGAGTTAGGGGTAAGGTAGGCCTGGAATGTGAGTTTTTTTCTTTCTGTCCATCCCCTCAGGATATTGGGCTATAAAAAGAAGAAAGTGGGGGTGGCAAAGTGGGAGTTGAGCAGGGCCTGGGGAGGGGTGGGTGCAGACAGGGAATCTCTGAGAAGTGTTAACTGTCAGTTCCTAGAACGTGAATCCTAGTCCTCACTCCTTCTCAATGTTCCAACCTAAGGCAAAGTTGCTTTTTGGTCAGCAACTATTGGAAATTTGAGTCCTGGGAGAATGTGCTGTGGGGTCCCTTGGGAAGGGGACTCCCGGGTTATCAGAAGGTTCAGCAAAGTTTCCCTGGGGGGAGAGGGGAGTGGAAGGGAATCTCCTGGGAGACTAGGGTTCCCTGGATCTAAGCCACTGGCTCTCCTTCGGCCACAGTCCCTAGCACAGTCGTCTTGGTGTTTGCTTATTTTGGTTATTTTTTGATCAGATATTTTGGCACTGTGCACACTGCCTCCTGTTGCCATGGCAGCCGTGACAGGGGCTGAGGCACCGTGAGAAAAATACCAAAATTAATGAGTGAGCGAAAGTGCAGCCGAGAGAAAAACAAGGTTAAAAAAAGAGTTAAAACGGTAATGAAAACAGGCTTCCCAGCTCCACAGCAGAGCAGCTGCTCAGGCCTCCATGGAGCAGCAGCCCCCACCCAACCTGGGGCTCCTGGAATCTCCCAGACCTCCAGGCAGGACTCACTCTCTTCCCCTAACCAGCTAGTCTCAGATCCAGCAAAGCCACTTGGGGACCATCCTAAGCAGATCAGTTTCCAACACAAGTAGCATCCTGCCTCCCAGAACAGCATCTCAGCGCACAGCTTCTCATCTCCTAGACAACAGAGTCCCAGATACAGCCCCCACACAACAGTGGTCCAGATATATTACCAAGAAATGGCCTCCCAGCTACACCCGAGCTTTGGATTTAACTGCAGGCATAACAGCATCTCAGATAGTCTTGCACGTAAGAACAGCCCAGCTACAATTCTGGGCAATAACATCCTAGCTATAGCCAATCCCCAGTATGCTGTCATCACAGCTATAGCTTCAGGACCAATAGAATGTCAGCTACAATCCTATACACAATAGTAGCTCTGCTCTTATCCCAGGTAACATCCTGCTTCCCAGGTACAGCTTCCTAGCAACAGCTTCTTATCTCCTAGGATCTGGACAGTGGATTCAGCTACAGCTCCACCTACATCTTGTTAATGGAGAACAGCTTCTTGGCTACAGCCAGTCTCAGGTGTGCCAGCCCAACACCTATAGCTTCAGGTACAATGGCATTTTCATTATAGCCATCCCTCATTATGCACCCATGCACATACATACATGGTTTGGCAACCACCTTTGTGGTAATCTGATTAGCTATAGCTTAGGCACATCAGCATCACATCACTGCAACAGTGTCCCAGCTTCAGTCAGAAGCAACAGACTTTTTATTACTTTCAGGTCCTACAACATCCCTGTCCTCTTCGCTACAGTCCATCCCACGTACCTGCACACCACATCAAGCATCCCAACCATTTCCACACCTGATATCAACCAGACTCCATTCTCTGGATACAGTCCCAGCTAGACTCTCAGATTCAGGAGCCTCCCCCAATGCTTCACATGCCAACCAGTCCTCCTCCTAGTTTGGTGCAAGGCCAAAAGCCTAGCTTCTCTCTTCAGATACCACCTCTTTTATTCTCCAATAATCTTCCTTCCAATCCTAGCCCTCTTTCCCAGTTCTCCTTCTTAAGGAAGACAGGACCCAATTCCCATACCTACATTGCCCCATTAGGTCCCCGCATAATCCAGCCTGGTAGCTGGAGTAGGAGGGATAGAAAGCAAAGAAGGGTAGGCACACTGTGATGTGGCTGCCTTGGCCCAGTTCTGCTCCAACCACTTGGTGCAGGATTTGGGTTTGATGGTGATGGAGCAGGGAGGATGGAGGAGAACATCTGGGAGATTAGCATTTCCTGCCAGGCTCGGTGGCTGCTGAGCCTGCTCAGCCCTGAGCAAGGGAGGAGAACAGAGGAGCCTTTGAATGGCTCCCAGCAAGCAGCCTGGGGAGGGTTTGCTGCAGTGGGCAGCAGGCACACGCTGGGGGCAGGGAGGCTGGGGCAGCCTTGCTGTGGAAGATTTCTTCTCTCTGGGCCACTGATTTCCTCCTTGGCGCTATACTCAGCCACAGGAGCAAGTACAAGCTTTGCAGGGACCAAGAGGCCACTTAAAGGACAGGTCCTCCTTTCACTGGCATATAGCATTTTCAATCCAGAGCCCTGCACTTGGGATCCTGGGCCAAGGACTAGAACTGAGGGTGAAAATAGAGTCCAGTCCAGAAAGGGTGAGAGACTTCTCAGGGTGAGATCTTGGGGGAAGTTCTTGCTAGTATCCTTACCTAGCCACAGAATCCACCCTTACCTGAAGACTATCCATAAAGAGGCCATAGCTGGGAAGAGGTAGAAGCAGAAGAAAAAGACAAGGGATCTTAGAATGGTAGGAATGAAGCACACAGAGAGGACAGGAATGAGGACACAGAAGCCATGGCAGCAACCCAGAGACGGGTCCTCCCATATCGAGGGCTTTTTCCATACCCAGTACCAGGCCTTGCTAGCAGATAGCCCTCATCGTTCTGACCTAGAACACCCTGCCTGGGACTACAGGTGGCACCGGCGGGAGGTCTGATTGAATTGGGGCACTTGGCAGCCCGGGGTACAAACCCTGAGGAAGGAGCTCCTAAGCGGCTTAGAGACCTCCAGATGGCGCCAGAGAGCCAGAGCTGAGCGCGAGAAACCGAGTGTTGGAGTGTGTGAGACACTGCGTGTGACACCGTGTGTGACTGCTGAGTGTGAGTGTGACAGCGAGCGTGTGGCACTGTGAGGGCGTGTGGCACAGGCCGTGACACTGCGCGGCCTCGAGGGGCACAGTCCCGTGTGACTCTCTGAATGTGTGTGTGTCCCGGGCAAATGTGTGTACCCGCAGCACTCCACCGCCCGGTGGGCAGGTGATTAGGGGACCCTCGGAAGCATCTGAGATCAGGCCCGCCACTTCATCCTCACACTCGTGTACCTTCCTCATTTCACTCGAGAACTCCCAGATCCCATCCCCCCTCCCACGCTCCCCTCCACGGTCTTTCCCCCCCCACCCCCCCGCCCCACGGCTGCTGCGGCCACCGAGGCTGACCGCTCTGCGGCTTCGGCCGGAGGGGGAGGGGTGCACTTCCCCGGAGCGCAGCGGGAAGGGAGGGCCGCACGGAGTGAGTCGGGGGTCTGGGAGGGAGGAGGGTGGACCTGGAGGGCAGGTGCAGGGGAAGTAGGCCCTAGGGAGAACACTTCCCCAGCTCGGACTTCCCAGGGAGCAGGATGGGGGACAGGTGTCGGAGAGCGCAGGGAGGGGGGGATCGCGAAGGTCCAGGACAGAGGCTCGGGTGAGGTGCAGACGGGGCGGGGGTGGGGGGTAGGGGGAATGTGTATCCCCGTCTCAGGCAAGGGAGCCCGCAAACGCGACGAAGTCAGATCTGGGGGAGCGGTGCTGAGGGTCCCCTCCCAGCGGGACCGGAGCGGTCCCGAGCTCCACCTCCCGGCCGGAGGGGGGGCGGGGAGGCGGGCGGGAGGCGGGCGGGCGGGCCTGGAGGGAGGGGGAGGGAGGGGGCGGGCCGGGCTGTGCGCTCCGCTCGCTGCTGGCTCCGCCACCGCCGCCGCCGCCGCCGCCGCCACCGCTACTGCCGCCTCACACACTCGGGGAGCGGGAGCGCGGCGCGGACGCGAAGCCGCCGGGCTGCTGCGCCCAGAGCCAGCCGGAGCCGGAGCCCGAACCGCAGCGCCAGCCCCAGCCGTGTCGAGCCGCAGCCCGGGCCGGGGCCGGCGGCGGCTCATGGACAGCAGGGCCGGCGGCCGGTGCTGCCCCGAGGCGGGTAAGGATCCGGCGGCAGTGGTTCGGGAGCCCGGAGCCGCTATGGCCGGCGGGAGCTGAGGGAGGGGCGCTCAGTGGATCGAGGCCGCGGGGGCCCGGCCGGTGTCCAGCGCTCCGGGGCTGAGGTTGGGGGGTGCTGGGCCACCGAGTGGGGGTTGCGGCCGAGGCATCGTGGCCTCCAAGATTCACGGCAGGGAACCGGGAGAAGGAGGGGAGGTGCTGCGGAGTCAGACCCCTGCCTGGCACTGGCACCCAGGGCGCGCTTGGAGCGGCGAGGATGGGAAGACTCCAGGAGCGCGCGGAATGGAGATGGTTTGGGGGAAGTGCGCGGCCCTCGGGGTTGGCGTGGAGTCTCCTCGGGGACGAAGCCAGCCAGGAGCATTATCCACAACACATGCACACACACACACACACACACACACACACACACACACTTGTTGGGCGACGAGCTCGGCTCACTCAGGCGCGTCCAGCTCACCGCGGGCACCTGGAGGGCCATACCACCGACATACACATGCGTACGTACATCCGTACATACATGAACACAGACCTACCTCCCGCACACCAGCGCCCACTGGGGCTCCGTCACCAGCTTAGAATCTGCTCCAGCATCTGCACGATCAGCAGGGACACACAACCCGTGGCCATCGAGAGCACAACACAATCAGGTGTGACACTGGGCAACTTAAACAACCCCGTGCCCTTTTGGATGAGTGTGACAGCTACAGTTAGACGCACGAACCCTCAAGACCTAGACTCCCCCCCCCCTACACATGTTCCTTTAAGGAACACACCCTAATATACTGTTACCCATTCCCTGGCCAGTACACAGGTACACAGCACAGGTCTCCTTGGCTCCACTAGGCTGCACACACATACACACACACACACAACCCAGTGTCTCAGCACACGCCTTGATGGCACACACCCTAACACAGTAGGACGCACCTACCACAGCGCCTCCTGGTCACAGCAACCCGCCGCTTCACGCTTCTTAAACACGGGTTGCCACACACCTTACACCGACCGTGTCACTTTACACCCTGCCGCGGCGCGTGCACACCAACACACTCGGCCCCTCTCCCTGGGAGGAGAGATTGGGCTGGGAGTAGCCCGCGGGGGCCTCCTGGCTAGCCCCGAAGAGCCCAGTCTCCGTAATTGGGACATTGTTATGGTAAATATGGGCACAGCGGGAACCCGAGGGCCGGACCGACCGGCTTCCTGCGGGCACCTCCCCCACCTCCACTCCAAGGCCGGACCAGCCGTGTGTTCCCGGAACTAGCCGGACCTGGCAGGCCGCGCCGAACTGCCTGCCTGGGGCTCCGGAGCCTGAGGTACAACCCTGGGGCGGTGTTTGCGACCCCCCCTCCCCTTTCAGGCCATCCAACTGAATTACAGGAGCCACCTGGGTATCTGTACACCTGGATCCAGCACACCTGGGCACCACCTCCCCCTCCGCCAGTCCCCCTTCAGGCCAGTCGTGTGAGTGGGCTAGGCCGTGGGCATAGAAGGGAGGTCGCAGCCAGTGCCGCAGCAAAATTTGTTGGCGAGATGGACTCGTACCCTTTCCTCACCCTGGCTACCCTCCGGTAGCTCCGATTTCTGGCCTCAGTTTCCCCAGTGGTGCTCGGCGATTATACCATCTGGCAGAAAGATTGGGGGCGAGGCCTATGCTGAGTGCGGGGCCGGTCCCCCTTCTCCCCCACTCCCGCTGAGAGAGGACGGGTTTCTTGGGAATGTCCCCGCCCGGCCAGGCTCTCTCGGCTTTGTGATTCCGGCGCCCGTTTCCTCCCCACCCCCTTCCCCGGCGCCCGCTGCGCCGCTCCGCGCCGGCGCCGGCTTGTGGAGGGGGGTGGGGATGGGGGGGGGGGGACCCTAGGCCGAGGCCAGCGATCGCTAGAGAGAGAGAGGGATTCTCCGCGGCGACCCCGGAGGCGAGGGACGCAAGTGGCCGGCTGGCCTAGGCGCGATCAGCGCCCTAGCGTAGCCTCGCCCTGGGCTGGGGAGGCCAGGCACCGCCAGGGTGGGGGTGGGGCTACTCGAACCCCGGGAGCGCCGCCGCCCCCCACCACATTGGGCATCCTCCGGGAGGAGCCGCACGCTCGGCGCGCTGGGTGTGTGCAGGAAGCGCCAGCTGACCGAGGCCGTGAGTTCCCGGGCTGCTCGTGCCGGCGAAGCCCGGGACTTCATATTGGAAGATGCCAGGCTCCTTCTAGTACCTGCTGTGGGTCAGTCCCTCGGAAGCTACCAGGAAAGGGGCAGCCCTGAAGGTGCCATTGGTCGAAGGGGTATGGGGGCAGGTACTACTTTTTTTGTTACAGGGGTCTGAGGGGATTGAGGTGTATAATCGACTATGACAGGTAGTGGAATCCAGGAGAGAAGCGCAAGGAGCAGCCCCCACCAGAGGCAGGCTGGTCGGGGAACAGGCCTGCGTTCTAGTCCAGCAACATTTACTTTTCCCTCTTTCTCCTCACACCCCCAATTCCCAACTCAGAAGGGACTTCAGCTGGAAAAGGGGCGTCTTGCTGGTCTGGCTTCTTCGTCGCAGAAGAGAAGCTTGCTGTGGTTACTTCAGCCCAGAGGTGGGCAAGAGTCAGTGAGCACTGCTGGAAAGAATTGGGTGCCTGATAACTAAGAGGGCGGCCCTTTAATGTAGGGGTGAAAGCTGTCAATATTATGAGCAAAGAGAGTTCAGTGCTTCAAACAGGGATTCTGTTTAACTTCTGTCAGGGTCTATGGTGAATGGTGAAGGTGCAGTAGTAAAATATATATCATTCATTTGCTTTCATAGACTTTGCCAGCTGCAGGGCATTGCTTCATATAGTCACCAAACTGGCAAGCACCTATTGTGTGCCCAATGCGGGGTTGGTTTATTTTCACATGTGTTCTTCACAATATAACGTTTTATTTAATCATTGGATTGTTTTTAATCCTCCCAAATAACTTCAAGGGGCAGAATTATTTCCATTTCATAATATAAAATAGGTTCAGAAAAGTGACTTCATGTGGGTAAGGTCACACACACACACATCTAGGAAATGGTGGAGCATAGGGTTCAAATCCAACAATCTGGCTCAAGAATGCAGGTGCCCAGAAGCTTGCAGAGGCTAATAGAGGGTTGTGAAAGATCTGGGAGAGGAACTGAGGGTTGCTCACTGTGGGAGGCCTCTGAACAGCTCCACCCCACGCAGCCCCACTTGCTTCCCAGGCTCTCAGATGGTCCCTTTGTCCCTTGGTATTTTCTGCCTGCAGCAGCAGTGGCTGTTGTATAATAGTCCTGGAGTGAGGATAGGGGCTCAGAGCTGACCTGGTCACTAGGGCAGTGATAGCTCTCATAGTACTCAGCAGGAAGTGAACCTTGGACCCCCAGTTGGTCTGGAATTGAAGATTCTGAGTGAACTCACCTGTCCTCATTTCTGCTTAGATGTTACACAGATGTGGTTTCCTTGAACTTCTTGGACTCTTGTTCTTAATGAATCTTCTGCTTCGGTCCTGAGAAAGATGGGTCACTTGCTTAGGTTCTATTTTCTCAGGGTCTGGGCACCCTTGCCCAGCAAGGCAGCAGGCCTTGACAGGGCTGATAAGGCCTTAATGGCTTCAAAGGCAGCCGCCTTAGCCTAATGACTCTCTGTACCAACTGCTGGGGACAAAGTTCAAAACTGGTGGGGGTAGAGATGATGAGGCCACTTATTGCCCTTCCTGGCCACATGACTCTAGCCACATGCTCTTCCTGGCCACATGACCCTGTGTGCCTCTAGGTGAGCTGCAACAGAGCTTGGATTCTGTCCTGGAACCCTAAACCCTCTTCTTTCCCGCCTGGAAGCCCATAACAAACATCATATTACAGGCTTGGGGATTTCTGTTGATTCACTTTTCCAATCCAACCTTTTCCCCAGATCCTAGGATTCCAAGAGGTACTCTATTTCTTACATCCTAGCTCTTTCTCATATTACTTCTGCTACCTAAGATGATTAATGTATTTTTGAATCTCAATTTGATCATCTGTAATATGGGAGAGAAGCTGTAATAATAAATATATCCCTTTTGGAGGGTTGGGAGGATTCAATGAGGTTTCATGCACGTTCCTTTAGCAATATGTTAGTAAAACCTTAGTGTTCACTGGGATAATGCTGGTGCTGAGTGATGTCCGTGGAAAAGATGATGATGATATGGTTTGCAGGACCTGAACTCTGGTAGTCCTAGTATAGGTCAACATTGTTCCCAGGCTTTCTGGGTCCTTTATATCACAGTTGCCTTGAGGTGTTCTCCAGATTCCACCTTCCAATCAAAATTCCTAAGGGTGGGGCCAGATAATCCTTAATATTGAAGGTGCTTCTAAGGCTTAAACCTTCCTCAACCGGTACCCCAACTCTAGACAACCCTCCCTTCAGCCCCGTTTTCCTCACTCTTTCTACTTCTCGGGAATCTCCCTCCCCCTACATCTTCCTAGCCTTGGATTTTACTCTGTAGTTCTTCATACTCAAACAGAATACTGTAATTCTTCCATGACTCCTGGCTGGAGGTAAGGGATTTCTTGAAGGGGCCAGGGCACTGGTTCAAAGTTCTGAAGTCTCAGATTGTGACCTTAGATGGGGAGAAAGCCCCAGGATAGCAGCTCCATCTATATCTCTTAGAATAGACACAAATCAGAGTTACCCTGACTATGCTAGGCTATGGACCCCTAAATCTGTAGCCAAATTTCTGAGTGAACTTTTTCTTGGAAAACTCTGCATAATATTCTAATAAGATTCTTAAAGAGGAATACAACCACAAAAAAGTTAACTATTCTTGGTCTGGAGATGGGGGCTAGAAGTGAGGGGCTTTGCTGGGGTTAGGGTAATCCCCACAGGCTTCCCATGTAGCCACTAGCCTGCTTATACTTACATAGAGAATCAGGGTGCCAGGGTGAGGGCAGAGGAGTAAAAGTACCCAGAAGGGAATGAAGTCCCTTGGGGATGTGGTTGGATTGGGTCTTAAAGATGAGCCCTGTGTCACATGCCGTGGCTCATGCCTATAATCCCAGCTACTCAGAAGGCTGAGAGTTGAGGATCTCAGTTCTAAACCAGCCCAGGCAGGGAAGTCAATCTATTTAACACACACACATGGGGCTGGGAAGGTGGCTCAGTGGTAGAGCACTTGCCTTGCATGCCTGAGGCCCTGGGTTCGATTCCTCAGCACCACATAAGCAAAAAGAAAAAAGCCGAAAGTGGCGCTGTGGCTCAAGTGGTAGAGCACTAACCTTGAGCTGAAGAGCTGAGGGACAGCGTCCAGGCCCAGAGTTCAGGCCCCATGACCGGACCCAAACACACACACACACACACACACACACACACACACACACACACACACACACCCCTGAAAAAAAGGACTGGAAGTGGAGCTGTGGTTCAAGTAGTAGAGCGACAGTGGCTAGGACCTGCAAATACACACAAAAGAATGAACCCTGTGCCAGGTCCATGCAGGTAGAGGGGGAGGTAATTGTAAGGTGGATCTATGTAAGGCACCAGATAAAGAGATTAAGGTTGCAGCTGAGAATAAACACATATACTAATCTGATAAGGGCTTCACACGTATTGAGGAGGGACCTGTACTTGAGGAAGGCTCCCAAGAGGAAGTGAAGCATTTGACTTGTGTAGAGAATCTGTACATTCATTGAGCATTTTCTGAGGTCTATTCTGTGCCCTAAGTGGAGAAGGCTTACATTTTACCCCAGGAACGTCCCTGATATTTATTTGACATTATTGGTATTTGAACTCAAGGCATTGGCTTGCCAGGCAGGGGCTCTACTGTTGTACTATCTCTAGCCCTGTGCTAAGCATTTGTTGAGTGCTGACATTTTTTTAGGTATTTAACCTGCAAACCCACTAGGATATGGGTAACTGTATTTGACAGAGAAGGAAACTGAGGTACTAAATCATTTGTTCTAAGTTAGATGGCCTGGGATTGGGCAGCTGGGGTTTGCCTCAGGCTGTCTAGTGCCATAGCCCAGGTCCTTCATGCTTTTGCCTTAGGAATGTCAAATGGGTACACAGAGGCAACTCAACAGAATTTACACAACCATTGAGCTAAAATTGTTGTCATGGCAGACTGGGCCTGTCTTTACTGCTGGAAGCCTAAGTTACTAGGCATCTACTCCTGGTACCTAGGCTAGAGTCTGACACATTACAAGAGTTTAGTTTAAAAAAAAAAAAAAAAGTTTAGTTAAAGTCATACATGAGCACCTATTCCTTCTGTGTGTCCAGCTTTGCCAAACTGCACTTATGGAGGTAAGAAGTTGAATGAATATAAAGAGTTGTGTCCCTTCCTTCAGGATGTTTAGGATTTGTGTACAGATGGAGGACATTGGAATAGGTGTACAACACCAATTGAATAAATAACAGGGCAGGTGTAATCCCAGGCCACCCAGTGATTCATTGCCTTAAGATTGGAAAAGACAATAAGGGGCTGTGAGTTAGAAGGAGAGGTTACTGTGAGAAGGAATCATGGGGTGGCTGCAACGTGCCTTCTGTGGGATGGGTGTGGTAGTGGCAGGCCTGGGGTGGAAATTCTGGGAGTGAGAAAAGTAGGAGCCTGAACCCTCCAAAGAAAATGCTGGGTTAGAGATTTTGGATTTGAACAGAAGAAGGGACAGTTAAGCCTGGATAGATAGCTGTCAGGTCTGGCTTAAGTAGACAGCCACAAAGTCTGGGGGTGGGGGTGTTGGGGCATTGGGTGATAGAATAGGGTTATTGTAGTGGAGGCGCAGTTGTGGTTGGCTGGGCATTTATAACTAGCTAGAAGGATCTGGAGGAGGGCAAGGAGAGACAGGTGTGAGATAGGACAGGACCGGTTAGGGAGGGGGAGTAGGAGTATACCGTAGGACCTAAATGTAGAGGATAAAGGTCAAATAGAAGCTAGAAAGGGTGTGGCGGTGCATGTAGAAGGTTGAAAGTTCAAAACCAGACTGAGCTCCATAGCAAGACTCTGTCTCAAAAAAATCAAGGGTTAGAGATCTAGCTCAGTGGTAGACAGCTTGCCTGCTAAGTGTATGTAGGACCCTAGATTCCATCCCCAGCCCTGGAAAATAACCAAGAAAACCCTACCCCCCCCAAAAAAAAAAAAACCAACCAGAAGCCAGATGATCATCTGTATAGTCCACATAGTGTGTGAGTGGAGATGGAGGAGGAACCTGGGGAAGGCTGGTGGTGTCATCACAGCTTTGTCCCAGTTAGACCTGCTGGGCTCCCAATTTCTAAGGACAGGCCAGGGCAGCTCCCAATAGCAATTTGAGGGCCAGTCAGTCCTGACCACAGTCCTGACCCCACTCTTGACCTCAGCTCTCTTCTTTTATGCATTTTGCTCATAGCAATAAGCAGAGGAGAAGAGCCCTAGGAACAATCCTTGAGCACAGTGTGCATGTTTGTGGGAAGGGAGTTGGAGAAAACCGCCTCAGTGCTAGCTGTTTTTACAAGCTTTAATTGGTGTCCGATCCAAGCTACCTTGGTTGTTATCCATTTCAGGCTGTTCTTAGAGGTGGAGGACATTGGTCCTATGGGTGATTATTATCAGAAAAGGTGGATTTGAGATACCCTATCTCATACATGTACATTGATGTGACATTGTAAAAAGAAAGAGAAATGAGAGACTATTGCTCTCTCATTCCAGTGTGGTCAGTAATGACCACAGGGTCTGGGGTGTCTAGGGGGCATACTTTTCTCCTACAGATGTTGGGGGAGACGCTTCAAATAGAGGTGTCCAAGGCCTAACCCTTTTACTTCTCTCTCTCTCTCTCTCCCTATCTCAGTATCAGGGTAATTACCATGGGTGACTAAGGCAGGATGCTGATGAGAAGGAGGTGTTGTGCAAAGCACAGAGCTGAGAACAGGGAGGGAAAGAAAAGGAGGGAGGGAGGGAGAGAGGGAGGGCTGGTACCCAAAGAACGTCAGGTGGATAGGGCGTTCCATGGGCAGGAACTGCTCTAGACCTGCCGGGCCTCTTACCAGCTCCTCCAGCTGGGCCAGACACAGCTGCTACACCCACTGAGGGTGAGACTTGGGGTTCTGGGTTCTGGAATCAGGTTTCTGAGGTGGTATTGACTTTTCTTATGGGGAAATAGTGTATAGGTGGGAAAAGGGGAGGAGGGGTGGCTCTGGGTAGTCCTCAGTGTCTCAGGGTCAACTTCCTCTTCCTAGCTGATGGAATCTGTTTTGCTTTTTCTTATAGTTCTCCTGATTCTGGAGCCTGCCAGGATGGGGCCCCTGAGGCCCAACTCGGGCCCTGGGGGGCAACAGTTGTTGCTGCCCCTCTTGCTGCTGGCATTGCTACTCCTGTCAGCTCCATCTGCAGGCCATGCCACTCGGGTGGTGTACAAGGTGCCAGAGGAACAGCCACCTAACACTCTCATTGGAAGCCTCGCAGCTGACTATGGCTTTCCAGATGTGGGCCATCTGTACAAACTAGAGGTAGGTGCTCCATACCTTCGAGTTGATGGCAAGACGGGTGACATCTTCACCACAGAGACCTCCATTGACCGTGAGGGGCTTCGTGAATGCCAGAACCAGCTCCCTGGTGAACCCTGCATCCTGGAATTTGAGGTGTCTATCACAGACCTTGTGCAGAATGGCAGCCCCCGGCTGCTGGAGGGCCAGATAGAGGTGCAAGACATCAACGATAACACTCCGAACTTCGCCTCACCTGTCATCACTCTGGCCATCCCTGAGAACACCAACATTGGCTCCCTCTTCCCCATCCCACTGGCTTCAGATCGTGATGCTGGCCCCAATGGTGTGGCTTCCTATGAGTTACAGGCTGGGCCTGAGGCCCAGGAGCTATTTGGGCTGCAGGTGGCTGAGGACCAGGAGGAGAAGCAGCCACAGCTCATTGTGATGGGGAACCTGGATCGTGAGCGTTGGGACTCCTACGATCTCACCATCAAGGTGCAGGATGGAGGCAGCCCCCCACGTGCCAGCAGTGCCCTGCTGCGTGTCACTGTGCTTGATACCAACGACAACGCTCCCAAGTTCGAGCGGCCCTCCTATGAGGCTGAGCTGTCTGAGAATAGCCCCATCGGCCACTCGGTCATCCAGGTAAGAGGCCCCTCTGTGTAAATTATCAAAGGACCCACCTTTAGAAATAGGAACCCTAGCTGGATGCCAGTGGCTCACACCTGTAATCCTAGCTACTCTGGAGGCTGAGATCTGAGGATTGTCGTTAGAAGCCAGCCCAGGCAGAAAAGTCCCCCGAGACTCTTTATCCCCAACAAACTACTAAAAAAAAAAAAAGCCAGAAAAATGGTGTTGTGGCTCAAAAAAAAAGGAAAGAAAGAAAGAGGAGTCTTCTTGAGTCTGGTGAGAGTTCTCTCCTTCCCCTAGGATAGGCCTTCCCACCAACCTCCTTTCCCCCACTAGGACTGGTGATATTATCTTCCTCTGTTAAGCTTCTTAGGTGACAGTGATAACATTGGAATAATACCCCCTCTTAATTGCTCCCCACCACCACCACAGGCAGACTCCAGTTAGGGAATGCTCTTGACAGAAATTCCCCCCAGTTTCAAAAAGACCTTCTTTTCAGACCTGGGGAACTGAGACGGAATAGATCACCTTTGATCCTGTTGACTCTCTCCTGAGATGGTGGAATTTTTCCTAAGCAAGGCAAGGTTCCCTTTAGCCACATTATATTTTCTTGAAGCTGGGGCCATAGCCTTGCTCCTCAACAAAATCAGATGAGATCATTTAGCCAAGGGGATCCTCAGAGTTCTGACAAGCCACACGGGGCTGTTTTTATACCTGCCTCTTCCCCTGGGCATGAGACACTCATGGGGGAAGAAAGGGTCAGTCAGTAAGCTTTGTGGAAGTTCTCAACACCCCTCTCCATGGGAACTGCCTAAGGGGCTGGGTGGCTTGATGGGGGTAGGGCCTGGGAGGGAGTAAAGAAAGCGTCCCCACAGACAGGTGGGTGTATCTCCCACTGTCATCTCTGCCTGGCCTCCTGCCAGCCCCAGCTCCTTTCTCCTTCCCCATGGGCTGAAGCTGTGGTGGGAGGGAGCTAGGAGGGCTTAGCTGCCCTGGATACCGTTACCTATCCTGGAAGACCCTTTGCCCTAAGTCCTGGAGCTGAATTGGGTGGGTGGGAGTTTCTACCTTGTTAGGCTAAATAGCAGACTGGAATCTGGAAATGTGGCTGAGAAAGAAAAGGAAGACAGTCAAGATAGCAAATAATAATAGTCTCGGTCCTGGACACTGTTCTAAACACACTATGTATATCATTTAATCCTTGAAGTATAAGTAAGCATTATACCCATCTTACTGATGAGAAGCTGAGCCCCTAGGAATTAAGAAACTTGTATAAGATCACAGTTGATATCAGTCTGACTCCACAACCTATGTGTGGAATGGCTTTACCTCCTCCCAGGAAGATATACAGGAAAGCAGGTCAGAGAATGGACTGAGGCTTAAAGGCATGAGAAAGGAATATGAGAATAGAGGCAGAGTCAGAATTGAACAGAGATGTGAGACAGACAGAAGACAAGAGTCATAGACAGAGATAAAGACATATGACAAGAGGCAGATAAGAATCTGAGTACCAGGTCCAGAGACAGGAAATGGTAGGAGCATAACCATATGTCTGGTTTAACAAATAGGCTTGGGTCAGGACTTGGAGAAGCTGTTAGTATTTAGCCCTCACAGATGTGAGTGAACACCATGGTAGCTCAGGAGTCTCATCTAGAAAAAGCCCTAGATGGTATAATTGGAGTTTCCTTCCTAAGGGGAAGAACAGAAGACTAGCACTGAGTTAGGGGCCTACTAAGTGCAGACCCCACAGTGTTAACTGTGTTGGCTGATTTTCCAAAGACGGGGATGGATGGATGACAGACATACAAAAAAAAACAAAGGGGCATTTTGCATGTGCCAGACAATGTTAGGAATTTTTATGTAATATCCATTTAGTCCTTACTGCAGTTCTGTGGAAATTTATTTTATTAATCCTCATTTTATATGTTTGTAGACTGAGACTTGAGGAGGTTAAATAATTAGCTCAAGGTCACATTCGAATTTGAACAGTGGTTCAGCTGAGATTTGAACCCAAGACTTTTTTTTTTGGTCATGGGACTTGAACTTGGGGCCTGGATGCTGTCCCTGAGCTCTTTTTGCTCCCCACAGATTCTGCCAAGTTTGTCTGTCTCCCACCTTCACCCCTACCCATTCTACCATCACATTCTGTCTGGTTATGAACTAATTGTAGTCTTTGTCTTCCTGACCAGTGGTCCCTCATGGCCATTCCCACCTGGTTCCTGTTGCTCCATTACTATCCATGTTTGTATAGACTTGGGCCCAGTAAGCGTCGGCTGGCGTGGGAGGGCGTGCCCACTGCAAAGGGACAGACAGTTCATTGTTTGATGCTGGGAGCCCAGCCTGCTGCCAGCAAGCTCTGTGGCCAACACCAACCCCTCCCTCCTGGCCGCAGGCTCAGGCCGGATTCCTGACTCTGGTGTCTTGCCAGCGCCTGCCAGCAGTCAAGGAGCTTCTGAAACAGGTTTCCCCGGTTTGACAGAGCAGTGGCTGGGTGGAAAAACAGTGGCTAGAACAGTGGCTGAGCCAGGCCTGATGGGTTTCTTCTGACCCACATCCCTACCTGGCTGCTTTCAATAGAAAAACCCTTACCTGTGGCCTCCAGGTGGGCACAGGAGTCTTCACTCATGCATGCAAATACTTATACACAAACATGCATCTTCTCACAGCTATCTGTCACAGCCTGCACAGTCAGACGTGATGCGTGCCTGCACACATGGTATGTTTATAAGTGCATGCATGCACACTTCCCTATTAATGCACCATTTCGTCTCTTCAGAAGGTTGGGGGATGACTTAATTTCATGAAAGGGTTTCCATGGTGGGTTATTTGATCTTTATGTCCATATTTGGGAGGACCAGTTAAAAAATGAGGAGTAGAGCTGGATGCCAGTAACCTACACCTGTAATCCTAGCTACCCTGGGAGATCTGAGGATCACGGTTCAAAGCCAGCCCAGGCAGGAAAGTTTATGCAACTCTGACTTCCAATTAACCACCAAAAAGCTGGAAGTTGAGCTGTGGCTCAAATGGTAGAGCAGTAGCCTTGAACAAAAAAAGAAAAAGATCAGGGATAGCATCTAGGCCCTGAGTTCAAGCCCCCGTGACTGACAAAAAAATAAATAAAGAAAGAAAGAAAGAAGAAATAAATGACGAGTGGAGTTTAATTCTTCCCTGTCCTGTCTCTAGTAGTGGCCTGTGGGACTGAGAAGGACTTATAGGTTGCATCTGGGCTCTTCAGGAAAATAGGTCAGTAAAGTCTGCCAGAGTGTCAGGACTGGGGAAAGGGCATTACATGTGTTGATTTGGAAAGGGCACTAGGTTAGATGCATTGTGTTTGCCCTGCTCACCGGAAAGAACACTGGCAGTACAAGTGTTTGTCATTTGCCATCCTGGGCCTAAACATTGCTGTTTTCCTTGTGCTTTGCTCCTACTCTATAGGTGAAGGCCAATGACTCAGACCAAGGTGCCAATGCAGAAATTGACTACACGTTCCACCAGGCGCCTGAAGTTGTGAGGCGTCTCCTGAGACTAGACAGAAACACTGGACTCATCACTGTTCAGGGTCCTGTGGACCGTGAAGACCTTAGTACCCTGCGCTTCTCAGTGCTTGCCAAGGACCGAGGCGCCAACCCCAAGAGTGCTCGGGCCCAGGTGGTAGTGACTGTGAAAGACATGAATGACAATGCCCCCACCATTGAGATCCGAGGCATAGGGCTGGTGACCCATCAAGATGGTATGGCTAACATCTCAGAGGACGTGGCAGAGGAGACAGCTGTGGCTCTGGTGCAGGTATCTGATCGAGATGAGGGAGAGAACGCAGCTGTCACCTGTGTGGTAGCAGGTGATGTGCCTTTCCAGCTCCGGCAGGCCAGTGAGACGGGCAGTGACAGCAAGAAGAAGTACTTCCTGCAGACTACTACCCCACTGGACTATGAGAAGGTCAGAGACTACACCATTGAGATTGTGGCTGTGGACTCTGGTAACCCCCCACTCTCCAGCACCAATTCCCTTAAGGTGCAGGTAGTCGATGTCAATGACAATGCTCCTGTCTTCACCCAGAGTGTGACTGAAGTTGCTTTCCCAGAAAACAACAAGCCTGGTGAAGTGGTGGCCGAGGTCACTGCCAGTGATGCTGACTCGGGTTCTAATGCAGAGCTGGTTTACTCTCTGGAGCCTGAGCCGGCTGCCCAGGGTCTGTTTACCATTTCACCTGAGAATGGAGAGATCAGGGTGAAGACATCCCTTGATCGAGAACAGAGAGACAGCTATGAGCTAAAGGTGGTAGCAGCTGACCGGGGCAGCCCCAGTCTCCAGGGCACAGCCACTGTCCTTGTCAATGTGCTGGACTGCAATGACAATGACCCCAAATTTATGCTGAGTGGCTACAATTTCTCAGTGATGGAGAACATGCCGGCACTGAGTCCAGTGGGCATGGTGACTGTCATTGACGGGGACAAGGGGGAAAATGCTCGTGTACAGCTCTCAGTGGAACAGGACAATGGTGACTTTGTGATCCAGAATGGCACAGGCACTATCTTGTCCAGCCTGAGCTTTGATCGAGAGCAACAGAGCACCTACACCTTCCAGCTGAAGGCAGTGGATGGTGGTGTTCCACCTCGCTCAGCTTACGTTGGAGTCACCATCAATGTGCTCGATGAGAATGACAACGCCCCCTTTATCACGGCCCCCTCCAACACTTCTCACCGGCTGCTGACCCCACAGACCCGTCTTGGTGAGACAGTCAGCCAAGTGACAGCTGAGGACATGGACTCTGGTGTCAATGCTGAGCTAACGTACAGCATCGCTGGCGGCAACCCTTATGGACTCTTCCAGATTGGGCCACACTCAGGTGCCATCACCCTAGAGAAAGAGATTGAGCGGCGCCACCATGGGCTACACCGTCTTGTGGTGAAGGTCAGTGACCGAGGCAAGCCCCCACGCTATGGCACAGCTCTGGTTCACCTTTATGTCAATGAGACCCTAGCCAACCGCACACTATTGGAGACCCTACTTGGCCATAGCATGGACACGCCACTGGATATTGACATTGCTGGAGATCCAGAGTATGAGCGCTCCAAGCAGCGTGGCAACATCCTCTTTGGTGTCGTGGCAGGTGTTGTGGCTGTGGCTTTGCTCATCGCCTTGGCAGTGCTTGTGCGCTACTGCCGGCAGCGGGAGGCCAAGAGTGGCTACCAGGCTGGTAAGAAGGAAACCAAGGACCTGTATGCCCCCAAGCCCAGTGGCAAAGCCTCAAAAGGAAACAAAAGCAAAGGCAAGAAGAGCAAGTCCCCAAAGCCTGTGAAACCAGTGGAGGATGAAGATGAAGCTGGGCTGCAGAAGTCTCTCAAGTTCAACCTGATGAGCGATGCCCCAGGGGACAGTCCTCGCATCCACCTACCCCTCAACTACCCACCAGGCAGCCCTGACCTGGGCCGCCACTATCGTTCTAACTCCCCACTGCCTTCCATCCAGCTGCAGCCCCAGTCACCCTCGGCCTCCAAGAAGCACCAGGTGGTGCAGGACCTGCCGCCTGCAAACACATTTGTGGGCACTGGGGACACCACATCCACAGGCTCTGAGCAGTACTCCGACTACAGCTACCGTACCAACCCCCCCAAATACCCCAGCAAGCAGGTAGGCCAGCCCTTTCGGCTTAGCACACCACAGCCCCCGCCCCATCCTTACCACGGTGCCATCTGGACCGAGGTGTGGGAATGATGGAGCAGTTGTAGCATGCCTGCCTCACCAGATCACATGGGGGCCAACCAGAGTTAGCAGTGGGAGGTGGGACCACTGATCGGGGGTTGTGGAAGCCTTGGCAAGAAGAACGCTGCTGCCTAGCGCAGGCATGAGGGGTTAGGCTGAGTGGAAACTGAGGGAGGGTGTTCTGTGTTCTCCTCCCTGTCCCCTCCCCATTAGGGAGAGGCCTGTGATTTTCAGATTTGGCATGCTAGACAAGCTACAGTTTTTGTGGGTTGGAAGTTGAAGGTCAGGTGAGCAGAAAGGTTTAAAGCTAGAGTCGAGGAGAGCAAGGAATGTGGAAACAGGTTTAATCTAAACCTGGGTCTCTGTCTGAGACCAGCCATAGGTGCTTCTCTGGAGGGAAACAGGCAACCTGAGGTCCTGGTGGGCAGCTGGGTTGGGAATCTGCTGGGGGAGTGATAACCTCTCCACTTTGTGCCTTCTGTGTGTACTGTGTATTAACCTCTTACTCACGCCCAGGCTCCTGGGGCTGGGCCCCCAACTGCCCCCCAATCCCAGCCTTATCACGTGTCCCTGATAATAAAGTTCTCTATTTTTGGAGTTTTGGTTTCTTATTTTTCTGGAACTGAGAGAAGAAGTGAGAGAGACTGGAAGCAGCCCTTTGTCCTCACCTAAAGACCTCAGTTTCCCTATGCCTAATCTTTACCCTTAGACCCCTTAGACTCCCCCACCCCACTCTAGTCCCAGCCTATTTTAGCCAACTATTTTCCTCTTCACCCCCACACCCATTTCCCATGTTTGAGGAAAGTGCCTTCCAGACCAGGAGGCATCTGTAGCAAATTCTCATTCCATGTTCATGAGACCTTCTCCCTAGGAATGACCAAGAAAGAGCTGATAGAGATGCACTCAATCTTCCTGTTTCCAAAGTTCAAGACTTTTATTGTTCCAGCCTGTCCATGGAGTCGCCTCTGACAGGCCTCACACCAGGGCACCCCTGTGTGGTGACAATCAGCCTGCCTGCTGGCCTCAGGTGAAGCCAGAAAGCCTGCTGATTACACCAGCCACCTTCCCTCAGGGCAAGATCTTCCCCTAAGTCCCTTTCCCAGCTCTTCACGGAAACAATATTCAACAGCCAGCAATTAATGAGCCCTGCCCTTTATCTCCCCACCATGATCACTACCCTGGGCTGCAGGAAGGAGAGCCCAGAGAGACATGAGACTTCCTGCACTTTTCAGTGACCTGCTCTGCACCCCCCACTCTTGAGTTCTTTCTGAGAGGTTGAGAATTCTTGGTCTGCCTCTTACACATGAGGCCACCTTTCTTCCCTTGCTTAAGCTCCTTTTTCTAGCCATCTTGGGCTGCTGGTTCTCACTCTCTCTCTCTCCGTCTCTCACTTCTTGCTCTCCTGGGTCTGCCTTGTCTCTGGTTGTGCCTAGGGGAGGCTAAAGTGTGGGTGAGGGGCCTCAGATCTTGTGGGAGTCTCAGAGGCCAGAGGCAACTCATCTCCATGGTGACTGAAGAGGCTTGAGACACTCCCAGGAGGTGGATTTCATCCACAAACTCCCCAGTGCCCTGATGTACCCCCAATGTGAAAACTCCCAGGATCTTGGAGGAGTAGGACATGGGTAAGTGAGATTTAGTTACATCTCATTTTTTTCTGGATAAATCAGGTATCAGTAGAGTGACCTCCAGCAACTCCCAATGACTCATTCTTCCATTTGTATCTGTACATCCTTTTCTTCTTGCTTCCATTCCATTCTTCTTGGGCTCCTGCACCTCTCCCCAACCTCCCAACTCACAGGATCTGAAAGACTGTTCCTTACTTCAGTCCAATCCAACCCTAACACACCATGGAGCTGCACCAACATTTGGTTATAATCAACCACTCCACCTGTTGTCATCAGAATATAGAAGTCAAGTTCCTACCATGTGCTCAACATATTAGACTGATGAAAAAAAATGGTCACACTTGTCCAAAACACAAGTGAAAACAAACCCCAACTATCAAGTGAGAACTGCCATTGTAAAGCTTTCCCCAAATAATCTCATGACTACTTTTATAGTTATTCTATTTCTTGAGGTCATGCTAAGTGCAAGGTACCATGCTAAGTACTTCCTGTGAATTGTTGCTTCAGTGCTTATAACTCTGTGCTGTAGATCATTTGACTACTCATTTGATATAAGTGAAACCTTAATGATGGAGCCAGGATTTAAACACAAAGCACCAGGAAATCAGATTTCCAGACTCTGCCATTATCTACTATGCTATTTTAAAAATGCATGATTAAGTTTGGGTACTAGGAGAATCACTATCACGTTGGCCGATTAAAGGTTCTGCACAGCCCTGTAATAAAGGGGAACCTGTAAACTTGTATAATTCTTGACTTTCCCAAGAATTCCTTTCTTTGAGTGGCCTGAAAATTTGCACAGGACATGGAAATGGTCTTCTGCTAGGAGGAGAATGTGAGCTGAAAACCAGTTTGTCAGTGATGAGCAAGATTTGGCAGTAAATAGCCTCAAGTCACCAAGTGAGCAGACTCCTGAGGCAGGAGTGGGCCTTGGTGTGCTGGGGACAGGCAGAAAGGTATTCTGCATGAAGCGGCGGGTGTAGGAGCAGCTGTGATTGGAAGAACTTAGCTTGTACAGGACAAGGATGCTTTGCTGGAAGTTCCTCAACAGGAAATGGAAGGCCTTGTAAGCTCGGGAGTTTCCTAGATGAACTGAGTTTAAAGTTCACTGGAATGTAGGGTGGAGTTACAAGGGGGTAGAGATTCAAGTACAATATTGAGCCTCTAAGATTTAGACTAAGAGTGGCAGTGGGTATGATAGGTAGATGGATATGACTGAACTTAGCCAGAAGGGGCCATCTGGACACAGCATAGGAAGACGAAGAATGATGGAGGATCTCCCAGGTAGACATCAGCCATGTGAATGTGGGTGATGGGCTAGTGATGAGATCATAGCCTGTGAATAGCTGATTAAGGAAAATACAGTTCAGTTTCAGACAGGTTCAATGTGAAGAATCCGCAAGGGCAGCCAGTTAAAAACATTCTGCAAGGGCCCAGAACTTTGGGACAAGGATGAGAGACATTTTGAATCTGAACTTTTAAGATGTGATAGTCACAGAATTACAGGGAACTGTAAGTGTTAAGTGTAACCCAACCCTCTATTTCATAGAAAAGAATCAGGAATAGAGCCCTTGGGACTTGCCTGGGAGAGAGGACTGGTAAATGCCCTGTGTTACCAGGCTTGGATCTGAAGGGAAGGAGGGCTGCTGGCCAGAGTTGAAAGAAAACTGGGAAAAGCACCATCAGCCTTGCTGCCCTGTGCCTCTTAGAGTTCTCCTGGAGCCTGTTTGCCTCAACACCAAATGAACGCTGTATTATAACTCCCAGCCCCAAATGTGCAGGTCTGGGGATCTTGTCTCCGATCACCCAGGTCCTTCAGTTTGGGATCACAGCATGGGTCCTTGAAGATGGGAGGGAGCTCTGGGGCCTTCCTACCAGCTCCAGAACTCCTTGCCCTGACAGCTGCCTCACTCCAGCTGTCTGCAGTAGGATGGAGATTGGGGGCAGGAGGATCGGGAGGATGTGTCTACAAACTTGGCACCATGTCCCTGGCCATCTTCATAACCTGTTATGGACGCTTATAGAGAAAAGAAAAAGTACAAATGTCTTAAAGGATTAGAAGAGCCTGGAGACTTACCAGCAGGGCCTGGGCGTTGCTGCTCTCCCCTTGGCCTTCAGGGACCCTGCATCTGTACCCTCTACAATTCCTAATTTCTGGTTGGCAGGAAAACCAGTGGCAGTCCCAGGTGGATGTTTGGGTGGCTGGCTGACTGTGCCAAGTGCCAAGCTGAGGTTGCCAGGTTCTGGGGCTGATCATTAACCTGTGGCAAGCGAACAGTGCTGCTGGCTGGGATCAGCCTGTCACTACTCTACCCTTCCAACCCCCAACACTGAGTCTAAGCTCCAAGGCTGGCTCCATCAAGCCAGCAGCCCCTCAGAGAAGCTCCTTGCCATCTCCTGATGGGAGTCTCCATTGAAGATAACCTTCCCAGTCCTTGATAGGTGCTATGCCCTCCCCGAGTGGGGCTCCTCATAGGGATCTGCCCCCTGCAGTCCCTTTCCTGACCTGGAACATTGGTGAGTTTCTACTTCTGCCCCCTACCTCTCATGCCCTGGCTTGTGATCAGGCTCTTTCTCTTACTTCCCTTTGCCCTGTTCTACTCCCAGGCCTCTTTGGATGGGAGTGAAATGGGGCTGCAGAGACAGGGTGGGAAGGGGCCTCAGCCGAGAGTCCTGAGGCTGCCTCCAATTGCACACCAGGGATGAGGAACAGGCTGAGAGACAGGTTGGCACCTCATGTGGATGGAGGCGATGTGAAGTTACAGATCAGTGAGACAGGTGAGCAGCTAGCGTATGGAAAGGTGTGCGGGGATGCTAGGGGACTACTGTTCTGGTGTTCTGGTGAGAGCTGTTTGGGAGGTAGACATCTACTGCTTATAGAAATAGAGCTATTTAGAAGTTGGAGGCTGTGCTAGTGTTTAGAGGCCATGCTAGCCTTTAGGAGTGGGCTAGCATTGTGCTCTTCTGCTGTTGGGCTCTACTCTAAAGGTTGTTCTGAAACTGAAGGGCAGCTATGGCCACGTTGGGAAGCTGAAGCTAGAAGCGCTGTGCTATAACAAGTGGCCATGCTGAATGAGGGTTATCGTGGGAGCCTGGGGGCTGTGATATAACATGGGGGCATGTGCTGTGTTGGGACTTTCAGTGTGTGGACTTCGCTATCTTAGAATTAAGGGATGGCCCTCTATAGAGTCTGTGCTTTCTGGGACCTGTGCTGTGCTAGGGGGCAAGGCCTCTTCTTGGCTGCTGCTGAAGCCTGGGAGGGCCTTGCTGAGGCTGGGATCTGGTGTGGTACTGGGCCTCATGAAGCATGCTGGCCAGCCCGCAGTGACACTCTCTCTCTCTCTCTCTCTCTCTCTCTCTCTCTCTCTCTCTCTCTCCCCCTCCCACCCTCTCTTCTCCACCCTACCCCCTTGCTGTCTCTCTCTCTCTTTCTTTCTCTCTCTCTCTCTCCCCCCACAGTTACCTCACCGCCGTGTCACCTTCTCAGCCACCAGCCAGGCCCAGGAGCTGCAAGACCCATCCCAGCACAGTTACTATGACAGTGGTCTGGAGGAGTCTGAGACACCATCCAGCAAGTCATCCTCAGGGCCCCGACTTGGTCCCCTGGCCCTACCTGAGGATCACTATGAACGCACTACCCCCGATGGCAGCATAGGCGAGATGGAGCACCCGGAGAACGGTGAGGAATGTCAGCATGGTGAGGTACTCTGGGAATGAATAGAAGTCCAGGAATGGTGACAAGACCTTAAAAATATCCTCCATCTATGAGTTCTTATGTGTTCAATAGTAACCACCATGCTGTGCTCCCAGGTAATTGGATTACTCCTCACAACCACTCTCTTATCTGAAAAGCATTTCATGCCCACTTTACTCTGGAAGAAACTGAGGCTCAGAGAGGTTAAATCACTTTCCCAAAATCACACATCTAGGAAGTGACAGACCTGGGAGGGATTCACACCGAAATCTCTCTGACTCCAGAGCCCTAGCACACGATATTACCTAACACTGCCTTCCTAGCAACAGGGACCTTAGAATGGAGGCCAGGAGGCTCAGGTGATGGTAAGGAAACTTTGGAAAGTAGATGGTGGTCCCCAAAGAGGGTGGAAGGGCCTTGTGAAGAGAGAGTGGCCCCTGATGCTATGGGGAGCTCAGAGAATGATGTGATGACCCTTGGGAGAGACTAGGAGAAGGTCTGACTGAAGAAGAGTTGGGGGAGGTGTGAGAGAGGTTTGGAGGGAGATGGTCAGAGCAGAGGTAAGTGTGAGAATGGATGGTGAGGCGTGCTGTCAGAATGAGCCTGTGCTGCGCATGTGTGTGCGTGGAGTACGGGCCTGAAGATGGCCTTGGAGTCTAAATAGGCCAGCCTTTGGGTTGGAAAGGTTGTCTAGCTTGGAGCTGTCCTTGGGTCTCATTCTGTCTCTCTTTGCGAAGTAGAGCTGTCCTTGGGTCTCATACTGTCTCTCTATGCGAAGTTTCCCTCCCCTCGACAGATGAAAAGCTCCACTCTTCCACCCTTCAGTCACAGGGTCCTGTGTAATCTCCCAGGCCCTAGGCTCAGAATGCCCTCTGTCCCCTCCCTGCCCCTCCATGCCTGATCTCATGCCCATCTCGTCCTTTTTGTGCCCGCGCAGAGCCGGCTGGCCGGAGCAGGCCCTGAGGCGGAGTGCCAGGTATGTGGGAGCTGCTCTGGGGTCTGGGGTCTGTGGGACTCTGCCCAGCACCCAGCCCCGCCCACCCAGTGCTCCGTGCCACACTGGGTCCCCCAATCCTGCCTTGAGCTAAAGAGCCTTGGCATTCTGAGGGTTAATGACAGAGCTGCCCCTCCTCACCTTGCACTGGCAGGAGGCCAACCCACGGTGGGTGGTGCCAGGGGAGCCCCTGCCCGAGGTGGTGCTGATCAGTCCTGTCCCTGAGGAGGGGGTCACTGCCTGGTGCTGTCCCTGAGTGAGGGCGGGACAGGGACAGCTGTGACAGGAAGTGCTCATGGCCCAGCCGTTCCCATAGAGATCTCCGCTGCCCAGCAACCACACCGGCTACTGCTGATGTCAGGCGGCCAACTCCTGTTCCCGTGGGTGTTCTGGGCAGGGAGCCGGGACAAGGCCAAGGGTGGTGGCTGGTGAGGGGCTGGAGTGAGGTGGGCAGGGGCTGCATGAGCGTGCTTGTGGGTGTGCGAGTGTGTGCTTGTGTATGAACACCCCACATAGATCTTTATCCCCTCCCTCTGGCTTTAAAGCAAGGCTTGGCTGTGTGAGGTGGGTGGGATCGCAGGACAGCTGGGAGCATGTAAGGCTTGAGATGGTTTTAGAAGGAAGATACCCATCTTTGTCTGAGAACAGAATTGTCCAGTGGAGTCAATTTGTGTGTCCATGCCTATCACTTAACTCTGTGTATATGTATGCATGAGAGAGAGAGAGAGAGAGAGAGAGAGAGAGAGAGAGAGAGAGAGAGAACACAACAGTTGTGTCCTTAATGAGGATGGGAAATTCCTCACTCAACCCTGTCTTAGGGCAGATTGCATGTTGAAGCCTGTCTGGAGACAGATGATGGAGTGTAGTGATGTTGTGTGTTTGTGGTGTTTGTGCACCTGTCTGAGGGCACATTTGGTAGGAGTGTGAGTAGAGCACTGGAAGAAAGGAGTTTATTTAAAGATGGTGTGTGTGTGTGTGTGTGTGTGTGGTGTAAATGTGTGCGGTGGGCAGGCAGGTGGGTAGTGGGAGGCTGTGTCTATTTGAGGTGCTGTGTGCCTGTGAACGCAGTGGCAGGAGTTGTGTCGCACCTCTGTTCTGAGGCAAGGCATGGATGCCAGTGGGAGGCCGTGGAGCAGAGCTGTTCAAAGCTACCCTGCCTGATGACTATCCTCCTTGCTGTTTGGCAGACCTGCGCCCTTTGCCTGATGTTGCCATGACGGGCACGTGTACCCGGGAGTGCAGTGAGTTTGGCCACTCTGACACATGCTGGATGCCTGGCCAGTCATCTCCCAGCCGCCGGACCAAGAGCAGCGCCCTCAAACTCTCCACCTTCGTGCCTTACCAGGACCGAGGAGGGCAGGAGCCTGCGGGCGCCGGCAGCCCGAGCCCCCCGGAAGACCGGAACACCAAAACGGCCCCCGTGCGCCTCCTGCCCTCCTACAGTGCCTTCTCCCACAGTAGCCATGACTCCTGCAAGGACTCGGCCACCTTGGAGGAAATCCCCCTGACCCAGACCTCGGACTTCCCACCCGCAGCCACACCGGCATCTGCCCAGACGGCCAAGCGCGAGATCTACCTGTGAGCTCCCTTTTGGCCGGCGGCCACCCCTCCCCAAGCCGCCGGCCAGCTCCCAGCTGGGCCCATTCCAGGGCCCCCACCCTCCAACCCCTCCAGCATGGACTACGTGGCCAGGGCCCCAAGTTGGGGGAATACTGGCCTCCTGCCCACGCTGGCCCCTCCCTCACGCAGGGTCCAGGTCCTCTCCTGCCATTCCACCTCCCAGCTCCCAGGAGCCCCTTCTTCCCCTTTATGGGGCTCCTCCCAGCTGATGCCCAAGAGGGCTTCTCTGCAATGACTGGGCTCCCCTCCATCGACTTCCAGGGAGCACCCCCTCACGTTGGGCAAATGGTGGAATTAAGGGTGAGCAGCACACTTCAACCGATGTTTCCCACATGGCCGACCAGGGTGGGGATAACAGGCCCCATTTCAGTCCTGAATGAACCAAGGCTGAACTGGGGAGCCCCTCTCCTTGGAAACTCCCAGAGGAAACTCTTGACCACCAGGGGAGCCCTGAAGGGCTTTTGTTACCAAAGGTGGGATGGGGATGGGGGTGAGAACACGATGGAGGCTTTGTCTTCCAGTACTGCTTCTGGGCTGGCCCGCCTGCCTGCCACATGCCCAAGCCTGGTCCCATCTAGGCACTCCCCTTCCCTTCTGGTCATGCAGTGTCTGTATATAAGGACCTTGGAATGATGTCCCCATTTCTGCCTGATTTGCAACTTTACTTGTTGATGTTGTGTTGTCTTGGGGGACCCCTCTGGGGGGGGGGAACCTGCCCTGTGTCCCCTACTCCCTGCCCCAGTGATGCTCCCACCCCAGGCCTCTATTGTTCCATGTTGTAAATACCCCTGGGGTTGTGGTGGGATGGGGGTGCAGGCCAGGGAAACAACGGGGGTGGGGGTGGGGGTGGGGGTAACATTTGCCTATCAGCAGAGCTGGGCTTTTATTTAATTTTTTTTTTAAGAATACAAATCTCTATTTTTTTGGAACTGTTGCGCTGTGCCCTGGGGTGGGGGGGATCTCCACTCAGGCTGGCCTCCCACACCCACATGAGCATCACAAGAAGGGCCCTGAAGCTGTGGGGGGCAGCTGGACAGGGGTGGGATGACTGTGCCTCTGGCCTGGTTGGGTGAGTTGGGAGCAGGAAGGTTTGCTCAGGGGGTGGCTGGTTGCTGCCTCCAATATGGAGGGCCTGCCCCCTGCCCCCTCTCTGCCCCCAGCCCCTGCCATGACTGACCCTTCAGCCTGTAAAACCACCATTGCCTTGATCTCAGGGGGTGGGAAGGGCTGCCTCAGGGCACCCTGGGCTCCAGGCCCCCTTCTTCCAGTTGGGCTTCCCTATGCCAAGGCCAGGGTCCCATGGGGGAGGGGGTGGGGAGATTGGGGGGCAGAGAAGCCCTGTCAGCCATGATGAGGTGAAGGTCTCTGCTTCACCTCAGGGGGCCAGGGTGTGAGGGGCGTCCTGAAGAGCCCCCATTTCCCACTGTGGCCATCTTAAAGCCTCAGCCCCTCTTCCTTCCAGAAACCCCCACTGCCTTGGCCCATACCTCTCCAGCTCTCCAGGGGCCCAGGCTGGGAGGCTGGAGACTCAGGGTATGGCCTTTGCTTGACTTAGTCTAAGCTGGGAGGGGGGGGGGGAAGGGATGGCCCAAGTGTGGGAGGATGGGTGCAGGCTGCTGGGTTCTCTGGTGCCTTTGGGAGCTGTGTGCTGGGGTCTTGACTCCTGTAACCCCAGAGACCCCACTCCCACCCCAGAAAAGCCAGGGGGCTGTAGACTTACCCTATTCTCTGACCCTTTACCCCTAATTTGGTTTGGGGTAACAGTGCTGGGAAGGAGAGCATCATGAGGCTGTTAGCTCCAGCATCCACAGTCCTTCTCTGGAGGGCAATGGGTAGAATGGGCTGGGGAGGCAGCAGCCAGGTCTAGGGGTTGGCCAAAGGCTCCTTTCCCTGGGGCAGGCCCAGAAGGTGGGCCAGTGGCTTGTTAAAGAGACAGCCTCTTACCCCTGCACAAACGGGGCAGGTGCAATAGCAGTGGAATTGGTAGAATGAGGTGCCCAGCTGGGGAGGCAGTGTCCTCTAGAGCTGTCCTGAGTCTCCGAGGTCAGGATTGGGACAAAAAGATTGTATGAGGCCCATTTGCTTGATGGAGAGGTTGGCCCAGGCAAGAGGCGTTCCTAGGGCCAGTGGACTCCCCTGGAAGCCTCTGATCACCTGGGTGCCCTGCCTTGGCCTTGGAGACTCTTAAGCACTGAGTGGAAGGGCAGAGGAGCATTTGCACAATGGAGAAGCCAGAAGGAAGGGGATAGTCCAGGTGGCTGGGAGGACTGAGAAGCACAGAGCAGAAGTCCTTCCACCAACCAAGGCAGAGACCCAGCCGGCCCCCTGGTTGGGGTCAGGGCACTGTGTCTGTCACCACCTGGGCACTCAAGAGGTGAAACCAAAGGTGGGCAGGGGATGGGTGACAGCACTGGGGACTACTCCTGTTGGTCCTAGGTCTGTGAAACCTCTCCCAATGCCTTGTGTCGTGTACAGTTTTATGTACCAATAGGCGACATTTGGCCAGAGGAGACCCCCTAAACCCAGCCTGACCCAGTCAGTGTCTTCCTAGAGGGGACCTACTTGGTCCCCATTCCCCTACTGCAGAGCATGTCTCTTGGTAGGGGGAGGGTATATGGGGACATAGTTCTCTCGTAGGGTCCTTGAAGCATCTCTTCACAAGGAGGGGGGTGTCTCTAGGCACCCCTGACCTGGGGGCTTCCTAGCCCCTATGCCTCCCTTTGGGAGTCCGTGGGGAACATGTTTTCCCACTGGGGACCATGGAAGCATGTCTCCCCCTCCCTACCCAGGCTCTTTGGGGAGCCTGTTTTCCTCCCAGGGTACCTGGGAGTACTTAAGACAAGTCAGTCTTGGGCCATCTCCCTTTCCAGGGAAGGGAGCAATCTCTGAAGTACCTGGGAAGGGATGCTTATAGCCCTCCCCCTTTCTCTCCTATGGGGGTGTCTCTGCTCGGCAGCACTTTGGATGGGGTTGGGCATCTCTGAGTTGTCTTCTCTCCAGGGGGCTCTGGGATACCTCTTCTCCTGAGGGCAGGGCCTCTGGAGCCATTTCTTCCCTGGATGCGGGCTGTCTCCGGGTGTTGGGAGGGCTTGTGTTGGCCATGAGAGTCTCTTAGGAGGCGTCTCCACTCGGGACTTCTCTGGGAGTGGGGATTGTATCTCGCCCATGGGGTTCCAGGGCGGGTGTGCCTGCCCATGGGGACGAGGAGACTGTGTCTCCTCGGGTTATCTGAGTGGGGAGGGGGGCCGTGTCTCTCTCGTGTGTCGGGGGGGGAGGGTTGGGGAGGGGGGGCTGGGTGCGTGGGGTGCCCATTTTTGGGGTCGTGTTTCTCTTGGTTCTCGCCACTTCCCACCGCCTCGCTCCTCCCGGGAAGGGCCCCCGCCCCGCCCCCACTCCATCCCCATCCCTGGCGCTGCGAGCACAATCCCGTTGATTTGTAATGATTTCTGTCTCTTTCTGTCTTTCTTTCCCTGACCTCCCCACCTCCCCGCCGCGAGCATGCGCAGGCACCGCCCCCACTCCCTCCGGTTCGGTTCGTTTCCGGTTTGTTTGCTGAGCTGTCAATGAAAGACCCTGTAATTATCCCCGAGCTTTACAATAAAAGTGTGAAAACCGGACCCCACTGCGCTTCTTCCAGGCCCCCGGGGCTGCGTCCCGTGCAGAACGGAGCTAAGTCCGGGGTGGAGGTCTTGGAGAGGAGGGACCGACCCGTACCGGGGTTCCTGGGCCCCTTTCGCGGAGCAGGGTGGTGAATGAGGACAGACCCCTAGTCTGCCCGCCTTAAAGTGAAGCCTGCACGGCCTGGCGGCCCCGCCCGCAGCGGGCACCCCGCGCGCACGGAATGCGGAGTAGGTCAACAGGGATGGAGGGGTCCCTGGGCCGGGCTATGCTGTTCTGCTCTGCTGCTCGGGGCGCCCTCCCCGGACTTGCCGGTGGGGGACTGGGGCCCTTCTGTCGTTCCCTGGCTGATGACTCCCCACTCGTTTGGCAACGAGCATGAACTGCGGAACTAGATGGGAGAAGGGGCGGGAGACATCTGTCTGTCTGCCGCCTCCTCCCACGCTCAGGAAGAAGGGTGAGAAGTCGATTTCGGGGAAGGGGACCGAAAAGGTCTCCCCGGCGGTCTGGGACTGCGCTCCCCTCCCCCTTCCGGGTTCAAGCGTCCCGGGCCTCCTTTGTCCGGCTCCTGGGTAAACACTGACTGGCTCCGCAGAGGTCGGAGAACAGAGACCGGATCAGCCGGTTCCAGGCCCCACCTTGCCCGGCGCGCCTCGGGGCGCTCCTCCACCCCGCGCGCTTTCGCTAGCCCGGCGTCCCGCCCCCCCCCCCAGCCCCGTACCCCCTCGCCCCTGGCCAGCTCTCGGTGGGCTCACTCCCGGACCCCGGGGTCTATTCAGCCACGGGGATTAGCCAAGAGCAGGGACTAATCCCGGATGAGCTTCCGTGTAAACCCGGATCGACTTTGGGAACGGTGGGGGTCGATGGCACCCCTTCACGAATTTCCAGGCCGGCGTTTTGGGAAGGGCCTGGAGACCACCTCAGGTCCCAAGGTATTTTTGAAGACTTGTGGTTGGGTGGGCTCTAGGGGAAAGGCGGGGCTGGGGGCGTAGTGAAAAGGTACTGCCAGATCTAGCACAGCACAGCTTGGTGTTTGAAAGTGAGGCTGGGAGGGAGGAAGGAAGATCAAAGGCCCTGGGCAACCTCTGGATCTACAAAGGTTTGGTCAGATCTCAGTCTACAACCCCATGCTCTGCACCCGTCTCCCAGCTGCAGAACCACAAACCTGCTCCCTTCCGGTGGCGGTGTGATGGACCCCTAACCTTGAGAGGCCCCACATCTAATCTGAGAGGCTCGTGAGTCGGCCTGGCGGCCATGGTCATCCCCACCCCTTGACTTGATCAAACAATGGAGAATGCGGAGCCCCTCCTGTTAAGAGCAAGCCCGGGAAAAGATGTCAGCGATCAAGGAGATGGGGGTGGCCTGCTTGGTACCACAGTCCCGATCCTGGTTTCTTTACTCATTCTACAAACATTTCCTGAGCCCCTCCCTTGTGCCAGGCCAGCACAGAGTACAGGGATACCCCAAGAGTGACACATAATCCCTGGGATAGGTAGACAGGTAAACAATGACCACATCAGGTGTTCAGTCCTGACTTGAGCCGGAAATTCTGGCTGAAGAATCAAAGGAGTTGACTTCTCCAGAGGCCAGAGGCTTTGTAGAAGGGTGGTGCTCAGGGTGAGTTTCAAAGGGCAAAGCTAGCTTGCTCACTGAGGAAGTGACTAGAACAGCCTTGTTGGTAAAGGAACCAGTGTGCCAGGGCCTAAAGTGGAAGAGGAGGAGATGATGTGGCTCAGGAAGGCAAGAGAAGTGGGATAGGGAGGGCCAGAACTAGAAGGACTTGCTGATCAACCCTAGGATTGAGGGGAAGAGGAGGGCTGGGGGGGGGGGGGGGGGGGAATCCCAAACCTCTGAGGTAAAAGGCCAGATTTCCATTCTTTACAGATTTTTTTTTCCCCTTTACCCAAGTTTATCTGGTGATGCCTGGGTTAGGAGTGGTGACAAACACAGGCAGACAGACAGGAAGAGGAACCAGGTGCACTTTAGGTTAGCTAAGCTGGTCCCACCTCTTTCCATCATACCTGGAGTTGAGAGCCATTAGAAAGCTGGTTGTACCATTTCTTAGCAGTAAGATCTTGGGCAGGTGAGTGAACCTTACTTTCTTCATATATAAAATGTAAATGCTAATGAGGGTTACTGTAAGGCTTTAATGAAGTCGTTTGTCCACTCTTGTTTAATATGTATTTTATAGCAACCATGTGTCAGGCCCTGTGCCAGGTGCTAACAATAGGGCACTGAAGAAGACAGGCAGGGTCCATACTCTCTCTGCTGGAACTTACATTCTAGTGGAGAATAGACTGTAAACAAACAAACAAATGAGATAATTATAGATTGTGTTCCAAGTGTTGTAAAGAAACAAACAGTGGGACAAGAAGGAGGAAAAGTGGAGGTGGGGCAGGAGACTGGGTTGCTTTTATTCAGTCAGGGGAGCCTCTCTGAGGAAACCCATAGATTTGGAGCTCAGGAAAGAACATTCCAGGTACCAGGAATTGCAACTTCAAAAGCCCTGGACAGAGTTCTGCCTGAATCCTGCTAAAATGGTAAGCTTCCTGAAGGCAGCTACCTGAGTCTCTCAGTGCCAACCTTTTGGATAGTTACGGGTGGAGTGACTAGAAGAGGAGAATTTCTGGTTGCTGAATCATCTCTCATATACCTTGTGCCCTAGAATGGTATTGGGGTTGTTGCTGTCCTTGTATCAGCCCATCTGTCTAGCTTAATCTTCATTCCAGCTGTTTAACAGCCTTCTCCCTCCAATACCAGGGCCAGTTGCTCCTATTTTTTCCCTAGAGTTCTGTCTTCTCCTTAGGCAAGAGGAGCAGATTGAGCTCTTCCAGAATCTGCCAATTCAGAGCTTGGACTGGACAGAATTTAAATCTGACCTGCAAAGGCCCAGGAGAAAAGTAGGCTGAAGAGGATGGCTAAAGTGTTGAAAGGTTTTAGGACCTTGAGAATTCCCCCCTTATTTTGGGTCTCACTTCAGGGAGGTGACCTGGATTCTTATCCAATTCTCCCTAGAAAAATACTTCTTACACACAGATAGATCTCCCACAGAGCCACGGTCCCTACTGCAGAGCACATACAGCTCTTCTCACACACTCACTATCCAGCTGCACACTGCATCTCCATGGCAACCGGGAGGCCTGGTCCATGGATGTTAGAAATAAGTGCTGGAGGAAGAAGGGGAGAGGGGGAGGAATTCCAAGAGAAACATCAGAAATAAGGAGACTTAGGAAGATAGACTCCTGAGGAGGCCTCTACTTTTCCATACATCCTTTGCCAGGAAGATGTGAGTGGACTGGGCCTGAGGATGGAGTCGCTCAAGGTGGGCGAAGCATGGGGAAGTGGCTGTGGCTGTATGGATGTAGGTAAGGGGGCACAGTGAACATGGAGAGGAATAGAAGCAGGAGGATTGAGTGACAATGTGGAATTTGAGGACGAGGATACCCAGTCTGGTTAAAGGGCAGATAAGTAGGGTGGGCAGGGTAGGTGACTTGGGGGAGCTACTTTCTTTCTTCCTGGCCTAATTGGCTGTTCAGGCTGAAACCACCTCTTAGTCACTTAGTCTAATTAGAATTGTTCAGGAGAAGATGATGGGGGAGAGGGAAGAGGGGTTTCTGCAGGGGGAGGGAGGGTGGATGGAGACAGAGCAGGGAAGAGGTGGGGATGGGATTTCCTTCTCCAACCTTCATCTATTCTTTCACACACCAATGGAAGGGGTGAGATGTATCTTTCCAGACTGGTCACCCTAACATTGGCCCCTATAGCTGTCCTTGTGCTCCCTTGAGCTCACCTTCTTTCTACTTTGCCCCACCCCCTCCTCTCCAGTCTCTATCTTATTCTAGCTCTCATTCTTTTACTCTCCCCTTTGTTCCCCTCCACTGCTTTCCCTTTTCCCCTTCTTCATGATTTCTGGTCGCCAATGAAGTTTAGTTAATGAGCAGGTAAGGAATTAGGGAATACTGATTGGAGCTAATCTACCAGGGTGTGGAGGAGGAAGAAGGAATCAGGCAGACCCTGGCTGGGTAGGATTTCTAGGCAACACATGCATGCACACCTGCAACCCCAAACTCAGCTATTTCACGACTTGAAGGTTGTTGGGAAGACAAGGTCTGTGAGAGCTCATCTGCTGGACTGTCCACCATGCACAAGTTCTGTGAACATCAGTTTCTCTAGCAATTAAATGGGCTTAATAAATCCTAAATTTATCCTGTGGATTTAAGACTTTAATGTACTCCAACTACTTAGCATTATAAAGACTCAATGAATGGCAGCTTTTATGGTCACTTCAGATTCTTTTCCTTTTTCAGGACTCTTCTGGGAGCCAAACCATATGAACCATCCAAATCCCTTCGCCCTGCTGTTTCCCCAATCTTGGGGGCCAGAATGACCTCTTCCTTGATGGTCTCCTTGCCTTACTCCTGAGTAACATAATGATATCCCCATGTGGAGGAGAGTAGGAGGGAGTTAAAGCTAGACTTAGACACAGAGACCGGAGTGGTAGCAGGGTAGTAGCTGTGTATATGCTAGGGGAGACTTGAGTCATACACCTTGTCCACAGGATATGAAGGACAAACTCTTCCTGCAGCCTAGGGTCTGTTTTTCCCTTCTCTGCAGGCCTTGGAGGGGGAGGAAAGGGGACAGCCATAAATGATGTAGGGGAAGTAGACTTGCTGAGGGGGACAATAAGAGATGAACAGTGTCCAGAAGTCTAAATATTTCATGGGGTTGCAGCACTGGGAAGGACAAAGTCCCTGAGCTGTGTTTGTGAGTGTGTGTGTGTGTGTGTGTGTGTGTGTGCGCGCGCGCGCGCGTGCGACTCCTTCACGAGGCTTGGAGCTGTTCCATCTACCGAATGCCCTCTGTACCCCCAGCACTGAAAACCCTGCACCTAAAGAAAACTATCCCCTGTGAGCCTTTTCCTAGCCAAGATCCCTCTGAATCCTCCCAGCAAATATATATTTTATTTTATTTTACAGCTGTAGGAGTTTATGCA